GATCTTCCCTCACCTTTCCAGTCCTCCCCAGCAGCCTAGTCTCTGACTTGTAGAAGATTTTGACGAGTCCATTGCTCACAAATCCTGAGGCCACAGGAAGAAACTCTTTGGTTCTGTTGGCAACTGGCTGCAAATATATGAATGGTAATTGTTTACCCAGGAAGACTGAAAGCTAGCCCAAAAAACCTGAGCTGTAGCCTTTTTTTCTACTTGTGAAGGTGTATTTAGGTTAGTGGAGCATTAAAGGTAAAGGTAAAGGTTCCCTTGCTTGAAAGCCAGTCGAATCCGACTCTAGGGTTGCGGTGCTCATCTCCGTATCAAAGCTGAAGAGCCAGCACTGTCCGAAGACATTTCCGTGGTCATGTGGCCGACATGACTGAACACCAAGGCGCACGGAACGCTGTTACCTTCCCACCGAAGTGGTACCTATTTATCTACTTGCAATTTTTTGCTTTCGAACTGCTAGGTTGGCAGGAGCTGGAACGAGAGATGGGAGCTCACTCCGTCATGCGGCACACTCGGGTCTCGAACTGCTGAACTACCGACCTTCCACAGGCTGCAGTTCAGCGTCTTAACCACTTGAGCCACAGAATGCAAATTAATCATTTATGTGCCAAGGTTGCAATTGTTACACAGATCCATGTGGGTGAGAGGGTGGCCAGCTCTGGCTTGGGAAGTAACTGGGGATGGAGGGGGAGCGTCCTGGGGAGGGCATAGTTTGGGGAACAGAAGAAACTCAGCAAAATGTGGTGCCATAGATGCTCTCTGAAGGGGACATTTCCTCCCAGGGACCTGATCTCTGTAGTCTGGAGATAGGTTGTAATTCTGGGAGAACAGGAGTCCCCACCTGGAGTCTGGTAAACCTAGAGGTGACACTTCACCACCAATACATGATAGTGGGAAAAAGTCCTACTGTATGTCTCATGCTGCCAGCAGGGATCTCACAAGTTATAGAATAGTCAGACCCGACAGGTTCCGTTTTTGAAAGTACCTTTTAAGTTTTTGATTTTGTTTGTTCAGGCTTTGTGGTTCAAATATGTATGTTTTCATTACGGAATACAGAGCCTCCGAATACTACCCTTCCCAATTTAAAGCTAATTGCAGTGCTGCATTTCTTTGATTTTCTTCTGTGAATGAAGGCACAGTAAAGATACTTCTTGCTTAATTAAATATTGCTAATTTTCATGAATTTCTATTGTAGTTGGAAAATACTCCCAATTGAGCTCTCTTTCTAGTGTGCAATTTTCCTTCGCAATCAGGCACCATCTCCCTGCTGTGAGAAGAGAGTACATTAGAAAAGAAGAAATTATAAAGGATATGTAACTTGATGAATTTCTAATGCCTATTGCTGGTTTCATGAATTAGGAAGGTGATTTGCTTAATTTATACATTATGAAATTGGCATTGCCTTTTGATAAACAAAGCAATATTATTTCATTTTGTAAATGAAACCATTTCACAGATTTAGCGGAACAGCACATGGCGTGGTACCTCTTGATGTGTTCCTTCCAAATTTCTTAGAAAAATACCTTGCTGTGCAGAATGCGTAGGGTAATACGGTTGAAGTAAGGCAGGAGCAGTAAACTGTTGACCTTTCTTTAGCTGTGGGTTATATATTACTACTATAAGTGAAAGTAGGCTCTTTCTCAGTAGGCAATTGCACATATTATATCTGCAAGTCCTTTGCAACACTTGGCTGACAACCACTGGGAGCACTGGGAGGCAGAGACTCTGCAAACAGGCATTGCTGATGCTAGGGTTACCAACAAGGTTCCCTCTAAGCTGAGTTAGTGTGAGCTAGCTCACAGTTTTTAGCCTCCAGCTCAGACATTTTTGTCTTAGCTCAGGAAGAATGGCTCCAGAGCAAGCTAATTTATGCAGTAGCCAAATCGCTCGCTCACAACCTTAATGCCTGTAGCTCACAAAGTAGAATTTTTGCTCACAAGACTCCACAGCTTAGAGGGAACATTGGTTACCAAGTACCTACCGCAAATCGGCGGAGGACACATGCTTTCCCGCTGGAACATTCCTGCCTGTAACACACCCGTGTCGCACTATGCTGTCGCCCAGATGTGATGTCAGCATGCTGGGCACGTCTGGGTGACAGTGTAGTGCAGTGTGTGTGTTTTCTCCGCAGGAATGTTCCCGCCAAGAACTATGTGTCCCCCACAGATTCGCGGTAGGTACTTGGTTACCCGAGCTGATGCTGTGATAAAAACCATAGAGATTTCAGAAATTCCCAGAGTGTTGTAAGATGCCATTACATCACTTCCATGGAACAGGTAGAGACTCCTGTTATCTCTGAGGTAGCCCATTTATTCTCCTTTCTTCATCTACACCAGAGCTTGCCAGTTTGACTAAGCAATGAACAGTGGAGGCTGCTCCATTAGGACGTGTGGGGCAGTGCCCCATCAACTCAGGCTGTCCCCAGCAACCACCTGCTGACCTCCTTACTCTCCTCACCAAACGGTAAAGGGGATGGCAGGCTGCCAGCTAACTCAGTCAACGTAGTGGTTACAGTGTTGGACTAGTATCTGGGAGATCCAGGTTTGTGTCCTCCCTTTGCAGTGGAACCTTTATTGGGTGATCTTGGGGCAGTCATGTACTCTCAGCCTAATCTACCTCACAGGATTGTTATTAGAATAAAATCCTTCTCCTCCTCCAAAATGTTATGGCTAACAAAGCACCGATGAAGTAGTGTACTGTCTCTTTAAATCCCCCCCCCCATTCAGAAGCTGGCTTTTACATTACATTACACGGAATTAACGTTGTTGGGGTTTCTTCCACATGCTCATGTCATTCACTTAGCCCAGTCCCTTTCCAATGGCAGCCATTTTTTTTAAGGAGGAGACCCAGCCAGGAGTGGAAATCCAAAGGTAGCTAGGTGTCTGAGGGTGAAGTTTTAGTACTAGGGTTGCCAGCCCCCAGGTTGGGAGCAGGGGATTTCCTGATTTCACGGGCTCCAGCCCGCTGCCAGCCAGCTGGCCAGTGGGGGAAGCCGCACCCCAACAGCCATGGCCAGGCACAACATCCCCAGTGTGATGACATCAGATGGAAGTGATGTCATCGTGTCAGGGACGTTGCGTGTGGTGACGTCGCCACACTCCCCACTCCCAGGAAGCTCCCTCCCACCCCCCACTGGCAGAAGAAAAGGACCTAGCAATCCTATTTGGTACAGTAGCAACTTAGTTTTATGGCTAAAATTTTTTTGTCTATCAGCTTTTCCCCTGGCTTTGAGATACTGAAGAAGACAGTGATGGAAGGAAACTCCTTCAGAAACTCAGCTGTTGATCAAAAAGCTGGAGGCTCCCTGCCCCCTCCTTTTATATCCTTAGTCAAAGCAAACCAACATTTCTTCAGTCTGTAGTCCTACCGAATATAGTAGGACTCCTAAATATGCCCAGCTTTGTGCCATTAGTGGTAAAATGAAGGGCCTCAGCCCATGCACTTAAACATTTTGTTAGCAGAACTTCTAAAAAACATTTAACTCCTCAAAGCAAAGATGCTGGCGCTCCTGAGTGTGTCCTTTCTAGATACTTTGTCTGGTTTGGGATAGTTGCATGTAGTTATTGTCCAGAGGTGGAATGCCTTCAACTTCTACCTGTGATCAGAGACCTCCTTCCTTTGTGTTATTTCACGACATAGGAAACAAATCCCTAATTATGAGGATAAAGCACGAAAGCGTATGATTACATTAATTTAGGGATCTGTGAGGAGCACATAGTGAATTCTGAGAAATAAGACTGAAAAATGAGTAAGTCTAGAATAGAATCCTGTTAGCTTTGGTGTCTGGCATTCACGGGGCATGAGTGTTGCTAGGTAATCAAAGGTGCCAGATACTCTAGTGTGGTGTTCTCTCCTGTTCCCTGACCAGAGGAAATAATAGAAACCAAATAATGAGCCCTTTGGAACTCCATGGCAACAGCCCCCATGCCTGGTGGAACCCTTCTACTTCCCCCTGAGCCATCGAGCCATCTGATGTGACGGGCAGACGTGTGGGCCAGTAGCCCGGGAACTAGGGTGGCTAACCTCCAGGTGGGGCATGGAGATCTCCTGGAATTACAGCTGATCTCCCGACAACAGAAATCAGTTCCCTTGGAGAAAATGGCTGCTTTAGAGGGTGGACTCTATGGCATTAGTTACTAATGAGGTCCCTCCCCTCCCAAAACCTGGCCCTCCCCATCTTCACCCCTTAAATCTCCAGGTATTTCCTAACCGAGAAATGGCAACCCTACCGGGAGCTCTCTAAGGATGATGCCCGCAGGCAGCTCTAGCTGTCAGAAGCTGCACTGCAGCTGGAAGCATCAAGCTGGGCTGGAGGATCAGGTGTGCAGGTGTACGTGTGCTCGAAGATGCGTGTGGCTGCTGACTGGAGGGTAGGAGATTGTCCTTTGGGTGATACCGGATAACTGAGTTTTCAGGATATTCAAGTGTCAGATAAGAAAGCTCTTACTGTCTCTGCAGTGGACTGCTATAGAAACATTATAAGCATTGCATTTTGTTTAGTCAAAGTCCTGCCGGATCAGACCAATAGTCCATCTAGTCCAGCATCCTGTCTCACAGAGGGGCCAACCAGTTCCTTTGGATGGGCAACAACAGGGCACAGAGGCCGAGGCCTTCCCCTGATGTTGCCTCCTGGCTCTGGAATTCAGAGAAAAGCTCAATGGTAAGAAACTCTTGAGAAGAAAAAGGGTTCTTATATGCTTTTAAAAACTCATTTGAGATAGCTTTGTCAACTGGTGTGCCCTGATCATTTCCCAAAAGGCTTTTGATGTCATCTCTAATGTACATGAACAGACAAGACTTTTGAACTAGACCCATATAAACCCCTTCTAAGTTCAATCTTTAATTTTCTTGCTCTCTTTAAAAAGTGACAGCAGAGAGACCGAAAGTCAAGGATGATGGGAATATTGAATGGGAAAGTGACATGAATGATTTAGTTATTCATACAGGAGGACTGAAGTATGATTACCAGCCTTATTTCTTTTTTCCCCCTTTAGAATTTGGTTGCCTTGGATCCTCTTGCTTTGAATGATGATGAAATAAGGCCATCGCTAGAAAAGCGTTTAGAAGGGATTATCAGCGGGGCTGCTTTATTAGCAGACTCTTCCTGCACACGGGATGTTCACCGAGAGCGCATTATCACTGAGTGCAATGCTATTCGTCAAGCTCTCCAAGATCTCCTTTCAGAGTACATGGCTAATGTAAGTGAATGGATCCTTTGCACATACTAGTTGTCGTTATGGGTTTTTTTTTTTGTTCTTTATGTGAAGTTTGTCCCATAGTTACTGGTTCCCTCTGCCTTTCCGCAGTGTATTTTGTTTAGTTAAAGTTTTTTGGAAGTTGTTAGGAATGCAACGTTTAGTCAATTTATGTAATGTATAGTCAGTTAGTTGGTTAATTAATTAAATGGATTAAAATGCTTTAGAAAGGGGCTGCTGATTATCTGGCAGTGTTTTAAAAAACTTGTTAATTATTTGTGATGTCTTACAAACCTATAGGTGACAGAGGTTCGCATAGTACCATTCATACCCATGGCACTAGTGTCTGGAGTCCTTTATTGTAATCTTTGGACAATTCTCAACTAAAGAAAGTAATTTCATTTGAGTTTATGGATCTCTCAGGCTGGTTATTCAAAGAGGTGCAATATGCCAAGGGCTAGTTGATGTTAGGAATGTCTTACACATATCTGGACTATTTATCATGTATTGTGCTGATATTTTTTAAAAAAATTATTAGATGCTGGGTTCACATTGAGTAATTTTATCTACCTATGTTATTGATTTGTATCTTTCTATTTAATGCTAGTATTTTTTTCATTCTGGGAAACATAATAACCTCTGTATTGAGCAGATGCAGTGTTCTTTATATAAAAGGTTCTCAAAACTCAATTTGGGAATTAATTCTGTTAAGTGACTATTGGTTGTTGAAGCCGAGGAACTGAATCCCCACCCCCCTTTCTTCTCAGAACAAAACTATTGATTCTCAGTCTAGCCATGTGTTACTAGGTATTTTGTTTTCACAGGATTTGCAACCAATGGGTCCTGACTCAAGAGTGGGTTTGTGAAGCCTCTGAAAGTGGGATTTGTACATGCTCTGGTCCCTCCCCCCGAAAACTAGGTCACCATACCAAGCAAGGGTTGACTGTGGGTAACCATAACAAAAAAGTTGGCAACCACCAATCTAAACTGTATGATGATGTTTGTAGCCGTAGAAAGTCATCTGCAAGGCTTGTGAACTCAACCATATTACTTTAAATTGAAATACATAGAAGATTTTTGTTTGTTTGTCGACTCGTCTCATAGTCTGTCTGACTGGAGTCTACAAAATGTATGCAGATGCGTTCCTGAACTGCCTTGGGTTTTTGGAGAGGGAGGGAGGTGGTCTGCATGACATGATTTTTGTGCAGTCAGTTCAGTTGCTATTCACTTGTTTTTTGGGATCCAGTCACAGTTGCTCAAATGCTTGTATTGCTGTGTTGGATGCACAGTATTTTGCACCTGGAAAAAAATGCATTGATTACTCATGTGGCTGAGTGTATCTCTTGGGCACGTTTTGGCTGTGTTTTCTGAAGAAGGCGATCGTGTGGCTGCTGTCACATGTTGACATTGTTTTGTGAACTCTAAAAAACCCAAACAAGTTAATATGGAAAAAAGAAAAACCCTTGATGGCTCTATGATGCGTCACTGCAGATCTGGAGGCTTCTTGCAGTGCTGGTGTGTGTGTGTGTTTAAATAAGACCCTTTGAGATCGAAAGGCATCCTGACTGTCCCATGCCATAGTGCCCAGAAATTTCAGGAATCTTTATTTTTATAAATGTTCTTTAATGATTAAAAACCTTTATATTCTGCTTGCTCAAGGCAGCTCACAGTGACAACAAAATAGTATCTTTACATATAAAATCATTAAAATTAACAACCATTAAAAACTAGCTAATAACACCTTGTTGTCTGTGTTTGGCATGGTAGTGTTCATCCACCCCTGTTTAGAGGAGGAGAAGTAATAACAGCACCAAAGCTCCCCCGGCCTTTTCCTGCTGCCTTCCACTTTTCCTGGTGTTATTGTCTTTGCATAGTGCAGTACAAAATAAGAGATCTTACAGCACCATTGCCTGGAAACGATCAACTGAATTTCGGATAGTATTTTGCAATGGATGCAGACATTATTCTGTTTGACAAGTTGAAAGGTGCTCAACAAGTTGCACTTAAATTACTGATGGAAGAATCCAAGATTCTTATTTTATTCTCAGGGCCTCCTCTCATGCATTACAGCATTTGCATCCCTAGCTTTTTGAGATCACAGAGCAGTTCTAATTTTTGCAGAGAAGATGGAGTGAACAAGGAACAAGGATTGTGTGTGCGTGGTCTCAATACTGATTGTCAGACAGGTGGCACTCAATTAAGGTAACCTGCATTGAAGGAAAGGGTGGGTGTCTGGGTTGTGCAGGCAGTAGGTTTTTACACTAATGCCAGCATTCAGGACCATTATAGTAATTTAGAAGACCCTTATTGTGCTAGTGCAAATGAATCCTAGGCAAGGGTTGCCAACCGCCAGGTGGCACCTGGAGATTTCCTATTATTACAGTTGCTCTCTAGACAACTAAGACCAGTTCCTCTAGATTCAGATAGGATGCTGATCTCAGTTATTTTATTTTATTTATTTATTTATTTCGATTTATACCCCGCCCTCCCCGCATGTGCGGGCTCATTCAGGGTTAACATTCAGGCTCGAAATATGCTGCTATGTTTCTAATGGATCCCGGGATACATAGCAGCATATTTTGAGCCTGAATGTTAACTGAGATCAGCGTCCTATCTGAATTTAGTATTTCTTAAGACTTGTTATCTAGCACTTATGAAACAGAGAGCTTTTGCACCATTATAATATCTCCTGAAGAAGACCCATTTTTTGAAACGTTGTTATATAATCCGGAGACGATGTTGATTATGTACCTTGGTTCAAGGATTTTCTTATGATTTGTTTAACATGTTGTAGTGCTTCAGATTGTAATACATAGATAGCATTCTTTATAAGTCTTAATGACTGTTTGATTTGTGGGTCAGACTATCACGATTATTGGCTTTATACTTGTTTACCACATTGTTGATGACATCTCCGTGATGCCAGAGTAGGCCTCTCCCACTGCTGGTAAGTCCCCCCACCCCCCCACCAGTTGCCAGGAGGGGGCTGACAGCCCTATTTTTGTGGTTATAAGGACTGTATTGGTGACAAGTAGAGATCCCAAAGAATGTCTCTGCTTTTGCTAGGCAAGCTTTCTATTTATTTCTAATGTTGTATTCTATGCTTCACCCTTTAAACAGTAACATTTTCTTTTCTTGCATATTTTTTTGCTTTTTGTCATTTTGGAAAAATCAATAAGATGTTATTTGAGAAAGTGGCATCCTTGTAGAGAGGAGAGGTGAAGTGCTGGCAGGGTGTAAAGGAGACCTTGTGGGTTAATTGAATATGATACCTCCGGGGGGGGGGGGGGGGAGCCTTCGCTGTTGTTCAAACCTCAGTTACCAAAACTCTTCAAAGGCCTTCAAATTCTCATGTTATTGTAACCTAGTTTAATGCCATTTACCCACTCTTCTGTTTTGAATGATGCCGGAGGTGTTTTTGTTTTAATGTGATACTGCTGTAGTACAAGCCAGTTCCTTTTGTCTTTGAAGTAGCTAGTGTGTGAAAAGTGTTGAACACAGCGCACTGAAAATAAAAAAGAACGGAACCCTCATCACAGAAACAAAACTACAGGAATCAAACAAGAACCCAATCTGTAAAACAGCCAGCAACACTTTGTATTTCTGCCGCATCTGTTCACTGCAAGGAGTCTTGAAACCGTGTAACTGCTAAAATTTTGATTTCCAGGACCCACTGAGCAATTAAATTTTCAGAGACTGCCACGTGCCCAGGATTCATTTGCATCAGCCCAAATATTCTTTGGAATCAGTATAATGCTCTTGAATGCTGGGCAGTAACAGAAGATGTTGTTCTCTATTAAAAGACAAACCAGTCTTGATGATCAAAAACAGCTTTGTCTAAATTCAGATGCTTTTGTACAAAGAGATGTACTGGGTGGGGGGAGAAAATCCAAAACTATGAGTGGGCAGAGTAGACTGACGACAGGAAGAACCATGGCCTCAGTGGAAACTTAAATATGGATTTACACCCTTCTAAGCTCAGTTTGACTTCAATGGATTTAGAAGGGGATAGCTTTGTTTAGGATTGCAGTGTAAGAGACACAAGTTACTATATTTATTGACTGCTTTCCGTCCCTAACAGAACCCAAAGCAGTTTATAATGAATAAAGATACAAGAGAAATTATATTAAATCCATTCTGATGGAATGCGGTTAGGGGTTAGGTGGTTCTCTGACAGCTCAATGCTGGTGTGGGGACAGAGCTCTCGCTAACAGATGATAAAGGAAAACAGCTCTTCCTTTTGGAAAACGCAATGTTTTTTTAATTTTTAATTAAAGGGTTCAGGTCCTTGGAAACTATGTCTCCCTCCCCCCCCCAGCTCATTCAAGGAAGAGAATTCTGTTCATAGACCAATCTTCTTCCTGAAGCGTTGATATGATTCACAGAATAGTGGTACTAGTCACCAGTGCGCATACCTACTTTCTCATAGCCTTGCCAGGTCCGCAAAATAAAGGGCCTTTGTCATTCTCTTCTCCAGGTGTTATTTAATCTTTCTTTGTCTCTAGCTGCTTTTGCTGTCTGGGGAAAAGGTGATGACGGCCCTCTTGTTGGTACTAAAGCAGACCATTTTAGGATTATTGTAATGCAAAATCCTGCCCTTTTTGATTTACCTTGCTCTTCTGAATCCTTTTGCTTATAAATTGTATGAACCAAAGAGAGGAAATCTTCTGATTTAGAGGAGCAAGAGTTACCAAATGAGCCAAACATCGGTGTGTGTCACAGTCACTCATTCACTGTGACACACTTGGAAACATTAAGCTTTTCAAGTACAACTGAAGAGTAGACATACCAAATGACTTCCAGTTCTTCCTGAATTATTTAATCCTAGGTGATGGAGATTTTTCTATCACTGCTGTGACATTCTCATTACAGGAGGGTTTGCAAACAGATTGAGATTGTGGTTGCATGCTCTGGAAGTTGATATGTTCTGTAGAAAACAGGAGGGAAAACAAATTAACTCTTTGAGGCAATGCCAATAAAGACACAGAATGTCTGTACAAAAACAGAGGTGACCATCACAGGAGCACTGTCGAGTGCTTCTTTAGCGGGTATTCTGTGTCATTTGCACAATTTGCTTTTTCATTCAGATAGAGTGGGTTAAAGGAAGTTGTGAGGGATATTTCAGGATTTTTGTTTCGTGGTCTAGTGTTGCCTGCTGAGCTCTGGCAACTGGCAGGAGAGTCTGGGGGTGGGGAAAATATAATCAGTGTCATACTGACATCATTATATCACTTCCATAATGGACTTGAGAGTGAGATTGTCCTGTCAGGGCGACACTCTAGGATTCCACTGAAACTCTGTAGTTTACCATAGAGTTTAAATGGAATCCTAGATCATTTCTGTGATAACACTGATGTTGCTTCTGGGTTTGTGCCAGAAGTGATGTAACAGACTGAGTGCGACACCAGTTTTAACTTTATTTTCTTTTATTTTTCACTTGCTGCCTTATTGAGAAGCAGCAGGGTGTCAGGTGGTCTCCCGTTGTTGCAAGAGACCTGGCAACACTATTTTGACCTCACCGGAGGAGTTCAGGAATTAGGCTATTAATCCTTTTCCTGAATTTAATGACTCAGAGTGAATTTAGATAGGAAAAATATCATTTGATATTGTAGCAGTTGGAAGATGAGTTTTCATTTCTTCTGAACCTCTGAAACATTACACTTATTGGCATTCACACATTCATCAATGAGTGACTGGAGTTGTGTTCAGATGCCACTGTAAAGGCCAGTTCTCATGTCTGAATGCATGATAGTGTTGCCAGCTCTGGAGATTTTCGGGGTGGAGCCTAAGGAAGGGGATGTTTGGGGAGCAGAGGGACTTCAGGGCTGGAAAGCAGTTGTAATAGCAGGAGATCCCCAGCCACTACCTGGAGGTTGGGAAGCGTAATGCATAACCAGAACAATTAGGCTCAGATTTCAGATGAGGGTTTTGTCGCTGGCTTTTTAACCACAGTTTCTTGGGAAGTCTGAATTCACAAACTGCATTTTCACCATAGAATCATCAGCATGGAGAGAAGAAAGAGCAGGAAAACCAGGGTTTCTTTCTTGTCTGGTAGACTAACCAAGGTTGGTCTACCATCTGTTATCTGACAAAGTGAGCTTTGACTCATGAAAGCTTATACACTGGAAAATGTTTCTGTTCTTTAAGATGCTACTGGATTCAAATTTTCTTCTACTACTACAGGCAAAAGTATGCTTTAAGCACAGCACAATTTATTGTGACACCCGAAATACATTCTGAGAGGAATATGTGTTTGTGTGACTTTGTTCTGAGATGGAACACTGCAGAAGTTAAAGAGCACTGAGAAATTTTGTTGGGATCATAAAAGCTGGTATGACTTTTCACTAGTGATGGTATATACCTTACTCCTAAAATGGAAAATTAGGCTGTGGTATTTACTTTTCCAGAAATTAAAAAATATATTTTGATTAGAGAAGGTTCAGGAAAGCAGAATTTTTGGACAAATTATATACTGAAATTCATGAACAGATCTAGAAGTTGAAAAGCGCGTTTTCCTCTAAATGAATCCATTTTTAAAAATTTGTACATGGTACTGGGAGAATTGGAAGAAGAAAATTAAAGCTTTCTTAAGCCCTGTTCTTCATTAAATGGTTCTGAGCTAGCAATTTCAGCATTAATCGCATACTTACTTGAGGATTGGACTGGAATAATATAAGGTGATGCACAGCTCATGGATCTGGAGAGGATGATTCAGTACAATAGTCAGTAATTCATATTTGGTATACTTGACAGCACCCAAAATATATTAGTCTGCTGAAGACTATTTTTTTCCAGGGAGCCTTCAAGAAAATGGTGTTTTCCCTTCCTCCAAGGTAGAATAAATCCTTGATTATGGTAATAACCCAGCACTGCAAATAAATATTGGAAGTGTGCACTGACTAAATAGCTATCTCATTTTTTTAAATTCGTAAGCAGGACCTATTCCTAGATTTATCTGAAATTGCTGTGAATAAGTACAGTAAAACTGAAATCCGGTTAGTGTGTTTACATTTCTGATCTTTTTGATACTGCTCTTTTAAAGGACATGGTACAGGCAGATTTAAAACAAATTAATGGTTTATAATAAATTTTCGGAGGGATGCTGAACTTGCCAACAAAAATGAAACTGTTGACTTCTCTACTGGTTTGTGCTGAAATAGGAGCAGCCTGTTATTTTGAGCACCTTCGTTGTTGGTCAAAAACTCAAGGATCCAAGGTTTATATTCTGGAACGCAGGGCTCATTGCTGAGTGTGTGTGTGTGTGTGTTTGTGGGTGGATCATAAACACTTTGGTATTTGTTGTTGTTCAGTCGCACAGTCGAGTCCGCCTCTTCGCGACCCCATGGACCAGCTCCCACCAGGCCCTCCTGTCTTCCGACGTCCTCTGAAGTTGGCTCAATTTCATGTTCGTTGCATCGATGACACTGTCTAACCATCTCATCCTTTGCCGTCCCCGTCTTCTTTGACCTTCAATTTTTCCCAGCATCAGGGTCTTCTCCAGTGAGTGCTCCCTTCTCATTTGGTGGCCAAAGTATTTGAGCTTCAGTTTCATTATCTGGCCTTCCAAGGAACAGTCAGGGTTGATTTCTTTTAGGATTGACTGATTTGATCTTCTTGCAGTCCAAGGGACTCTCAAGAGTCTTCTCCAGCACCATAGCTCAAAAGAATCTATTCTTCGGCGCTCGGCCTTCCTTATAGTCCAACTCTCGCAGCCATACATGACTACTGGGAATACCATTGCTTTGACCATGCAGACTTTTGTTGGCAGGGTGATGTCTCTACTTTTTATCATGCTGTTTAGGTTCACCATCGCTTTCCTCCCAAGGAGGAAATACTCCCAAGGAGGTATAATACTCACTTGAATTCACTTGAGCATTGGTTAACTCATGTTTTAAAGCCTTGGGAATTTCTTAGAAGTCTTTTTTCCTGCTTGGATCGTGTACGCTTGTCCGGCAGTCATCTCTAAGTGCCATCTTGGCTCCTCGGCAACGATACCTATTGGGGAAAAAGGAGTGCCTCAATTCCTTGGCCGTCGCCTTGGAAGAGGCTCTCCTTGGCTCCCCAGGCTGAGGGTCTCCTACAGAGACCCCGGGGGGGGGTCCAGGACCAGCTCGAACCCCTCCCGTCAGCCGAGCTGGTCGGGGTGCGTCTGAGCGACGAGTCGCTTAAACTGGAAGATGGGGCAATTATTTTTGTGGGGCAGCCCCCCCGAAATAAAAAATAAAATAAAATAATGAATTGTACATGTGAATGGGGGGGGGGAGTTTGGCTCCCCCCTCCCCAATGCCATGTTGTGCATGGTGACACAGCTTGACACAAGGAAGTGTGAAGTTGTGGCCGCTTTAGGAAGTCAGTGGCTGGGGCTGGAGGACACAAGCACAGTGGAGATCACGGGACAGGAGGGCGATTCAGGATCACTATACTGATGATCAGGACAGAGGAGAAGGCTGACTTTGATCTGGAGACGGAAGGTGCACCAGCCGGCTGCTGGAGAAGCTGGGCACAGACCACCTGGCTGGAGAACGCAGACCGGCCAGCTGGAGGAGAAGAAGGCAGTGCAGGCAGGACCGGGTTTGCCACAGTGCAGCACTGTGGCATGCCACGGCTAAATTTGAACAGAGAGTGCCGGCTGTAGCATAACTCCAATGCTGAACCCGGGGGTCGCAGCAGGCTCTGGGTGAACCTCTGTATCTTCTTGACAGCCATTTGTGTAGGCTCGTACTCCTTCGGCTGCCTCAGCTAGGGGACCTTGCAACTTTTGCAGACCCGCCCACTTGAAGCGAGACATTTTCAGGAAGCTGAACTTGGGGCTTTTTTTCTCCCCTCCCCATATTGAAGGGCCTCCCTCCCACACTGCCTTGTGGGGGCTCAATGGCTTTGGACTGGGACAGGCACTCAATGAGGCAGAAAGGGGCACCCCATGTCCCCCCCCCCCCCCAAGCAGATGCAGAGTGCATTCCGGCCAGCTCTCCTTCTCCAGCCCAAGGAGGGAGGCGGCCTGGTGGGGAGCCACGTGTAGCAAAGAAAATGAGTGCGGCTGGCACTCATGCATGAACTGGTCTTTTGGGTGGGGGTGGTGGGGCATGGCTCATGAGTGAGGGGGCGTGCCCCCAAAATGCTCCACCACAGCTACGGTCTGCATTATACCCTGTGGAGGTCCCTCCCCTCCCCTTCCCAGGCTCCAACCCCAAATCTCTAGGTATGTCCTAACCCAGAGCTGACAACCCTGAGACTGATGAGATTAACACAAATGAGGGTAATTTTAAAGAGTTTTCTTTTTTAAATAAGGTCAAGGGAATCAATATCTGTGTTGCTTCAGTACTGACACTACACAGTGATAGATTGTGCCTGCTGAAGAGCTATGTAAAAGTAATAGCATCAAAACTGCCTAAAACATGGCTGAATAATGATATCCTGCCTCCTTCAGCTGCTCTGGTTCAAACAAGCCTGACAGTTTGGTAACAGAAAAGTCCAGGGATGTGCAAACCTTGTTAACAACACAGTTGACAGCACTAAGTGCTCCTGCTTAATGTGGTTTGTCTCCTCCAGTGTGGTACGCTTTAATTAATCTGCAATCTACACATTAAATCAATTAATGAAATAGTAAATTAATGACACCAATTAATTAGCTAATGCTTTCAACCCTATTATTAAGCCACTTTGAGGGGGTTTTGTTGCTTAAAGATCTTGGGGCTGGTAGAGGCGGTGTTTGGATTCAGCAGAATGTAATTTTCCTGATGACCAGGCTGGTATAATTATTTAACAGAGTTTAAATTCACATCTGGATCTGAGCAAAACTCAGCAGGGGCCAACCATTTCTGTTACACAACTTCCCTGTCAGTATTTGTGGGAAAAGGAAGAAAAGTTTATTTTTTTTCAAAGCAATAGTAGTGATTCACAAGCATTCTACTCATTCAGTAGAAAATACACCGGAAAACATTCTGGCCCCTGTGAAGTTCTTGGGTATTTGATTTGGCTTCTGTCTGTTGAGGACGGCGCCCCAAGTTAAGCAAGCATGATTCCTATGAACATGGAGGCTTCTTAATCTATACAAATTAATCTATACAAATTCTTTTTGTAGCAGGTACTCCTTTGCATATTAAGCGATACACCCCTAATGTAGCCAATCCTCCAAGAGCTTACAGTAGCTCCTGTAAGAAGAGCTCTATAAGCTCTTGGAGGATTGGCTACATTAGGGGTGTGTGGCCTAATATGCAAAGGAGTTCCTGCTACAAAAAGAGCAAGTGCACAATAAAAGCACAATGTCGGAAGCATTGATTTGAGTTATGAGAACTTATTCATTGCACACAACCACTCTTGCCATTTTGTTTTATTTTTGTCTTGCAAATGTTGTTTGCTGAAAACAAAGTTGTCATCAGGATGAAGAAAGAGGAAACTAAATGAAAACGGAGGAAAAATACTTGTAGAAGACTGGTTTCTTAGGGCTAGCTCATAGTCATGTTAATCTGTCACATTGTGAACATGGTGCCTATAAAGACTAACAGATTTGTGGTGGCTCGTGTTTATGGACCAGAGCCTGTGCTAGGGTTGCCAGTCTCCAGGTGGTGGCTGGAGATCATCCAGAGTTACAACTGTTGTCCAGGTTCCAGAGATCAGTTCCCTTGGAGAAAATGGCTGCTTTGGAAGGTGGACTCTTATGGCATTCTGCCCCACTGAGGTCCCTCCCCCTCCCCTCCCCTCTCCACCCCCAAAATCTCCTGGTATTTCCCAATCCAGAGCTGGCAGCCCTAAAGCAATCTGATATAATCCACAAACACTGATGCTGCAATAAATATAAAATTTTGTTGTTCAGTCGCACAGTCGAGTCCGACTCTTCACGACCCCATGGACCAGATCATGCCAGGCCTCCCTGTCTTCTGCTGTCCTCTGAAGTTTGCTCAATTTCATGTTCGTTGCGTCGATGACACTGTCTAACCCTCTCCTCTTTGGCGGTCCCCGTCTTCTTTGACCTTCAATCTTTCCCAGCATCAGGGTCTTTTCCAGTGAGTGCTCCCTTCTCATTTGGTGGCCAAAGTATTTGAGCTTCAGTTTCATTATCTGGCCTTCCAGGGAACAGTCAGGGTTGATTTCTTTGAGGATTGACTGATTTGTTCTTCTTGCAGTCCAAGGGACTCTCAAGAGTCTCCTCCAGCACCATAGTTCAAAAGAATCTATTCTTCGGCGCTCGGCCTTCCTTATA